CCCCAAAACCCCAAAACCCCAAAACCCCAAAACCCCAAAACTATGAATAACAGTTGAAAATGGAAAAAATTGAATAATTCAAATTACAAAGTATCTCTAACCCTTTGTAACAAGGATATTCAGGACATCTGACCAAAATAAGCAGTATGGCCTAATTTTCAGTAAGAAATTCATCTAGATAGCCAATTTTATACAAATCCATCCCTGGGTGGACTGTTAGACTCCTCTAGCAGTGTATTTTATGAACAAGAGCATGGCTAGTAAGGCTCCAAGTCAAGCATCCTTGAGCATGCCCATGCCTTATGGAACCATTATAGACTCAATTGACTTGGTAGAGCTTAAGTTAATAGTTTATTCACCTTACTCAAACTTAAAATTTCCTAATTAATGATAGATTTATATATGATTAGTAGAACTGAGGAAAGTAGCCTTACAACTTGGCTGAATAAGACTTCTTTTCCACTAGAGGCAAGATAAGACCTGATCAGACAGACAGGATCATATCAGTAGGATACAGAGGGTTTAACCGATTGCCAAATATAGAATTCCTTTCAGAATATCGTAAAGAGTGTAACTTGTCCTAAAAAATATTCGATTATGGCTAGAACTCAGGAATTCGGTCATGTATAGTCTTTATTTAATTTGCTAGACCTATCAGCTTCATCTTGGCTTGGAAGCTGCTCATCTTGATGAAGACATGGATTTTTGCATTGGCTAGACCAGAATCGAAGAGAGTGGTTATTTTCGAATAACTCCTTCTAAAATATGATCGATACCAGATTTTATTCAGACAGCAGCAGACTTTCCAACTTGGATAACTTATGTAGGGGGTTTATTTTTATCAATCTGTTGTTTAGAAATGCCATCCGCTTGCTTTTATCCCACCGTTGAATTTTTCATAAATCTGCAAACCTCACTTAATATTTCTTATCCCAAGATTAGAAAAAGAGCTAAGTGGGTGATTAATGGATGACTCTTACGAAAACTTCTTCTAAAATCTACCAAATATGCAGCCTGCTTTCTCGAACATCTGTCTTAATAGATTTACCTTAAGCCAAGGACAAAGACTATATACAAAATTTGACTCTTTTTGAATTTTGAGAGTGCTTCCAGGCAATGGAAAGATGGCCTTTGCTATTTTACAAAGGACCATGGCTTGGCTATTTTTCAGACCAACTCTTACGGTGGATTACAGTCCTTAGAATACCTATACCTGAACTTTTGAGCATTGCTAGTCTGGTCTAATAAGATTAACTCTCAGTTTGTCAATCTTAATAATTTAAAAAGTACTCCTGGTTGGATATAAAAAGAATCGAATTTGAGCTTGTTCAATTCTTTCCTCTCAGCATTTTATTTGGTCATACCGGAGTACTGAGCATAAGGGAGTGATTAAAACCTTGATCAAAATTTTGACAAAAACCTATAGTCCATTTTGGATCAGAATTATCACCAAGATTTGTAGCATATAATATGGCTGTAAGATTATACATAGATTTTTTTTAGCTAATAGGATACTTTGTAATCATGACCACCGGGTCAATACTAGCTTGGTCTATATATTTGGAGATGTAATAGGTATAAATTTGATATCGTTGCTGGTACTAACTAAGACCAGTTCGCTTCTATTACATTTCAAGCACTATTTTTGGTATTTCACAAGCTAAGGCTCTACTTTGTCATTTTTGGCTGCCATGAACAGTAATGACTTAGAAAATTAAAGTAATTTGGGATAAAATCTTTCTTCTTTCAATAACCGTAAAAAATAACAAATTTTTGAAAAAAATAGTTTATTTCTTTATGTTTTAAGTGGCCAATGAAACTCTGAAGTTATAGACCAGAACCACTTCAAATTTGAGCTAGCTAAATCACAAATACTTCATATAAAGCCATCCTAATGGGTCAGAATCAGAGCAAAATCCTAATTTTGGGAGAACTAATTGAGTTTTAGAACCTGAAATATAAAATAGCTTCTAATTAACTATGATCGAGCAGCCAACGATGCCACCAATCAATCCCAACATTGTCAAAGAGAAATATAAGTGTAAATTATTATGAGAGAAAGTTTATGATAAGTTATTTTGAGACTGAAGAGGCTTTCTCATTATTGCCCTTCATTCTCATTAAGATTTTTGGAGAAGACACCATTTGGTTCAGCCTTCATCTTTCCTTCCATTTTTTCACCTGAGGGTCTGAATTCTTCTTCAATAAATTTGAAGATGTTCAGAAAGTTGACTTTTTGTATTTGATAGCTTCACAGAAATTGTAACTTTGTTTATGTTGAACTTTCCTGGGCTTTGAAATAGGTCGAGGGGTATCCTCACTCTGGTAAAGCATGGCTGAAACTTCATTGAATTTTGATACCTTCAAACTGTGCACTCTGGATTTGCATTTGCTCTCAAATAGCCTTTTTGTAGTACGAGCACTCCCTTTGTTAGTAGTAAGAATATTTGCATTGCTATGCCACTTGTACACATTATTTGTAGATGGAGATTCATTGTAGTCTTCTGAGACGGTTCAATCAGAATCATTCCAAAATTTGTCCGATGCGGTGTTGGAGTTCATAAAACTATTTTATATTTATAATTTTCAATCATGATTATTTAAGTAGGGGTTTTGGGGTTTTGGGGTTTTGGGGTTTTGGGGTTTTGGGGTTTTGGGGTTTTGGGG